CCATCTACCTCCCGTTTTCTACCTCCCATCGTTGCAATATAACGCGACCAACGCGACGATAAATTATCGCGAAAGGATTCTCGGCAGGCAAAAATCGACACCGCCCTTCCCCCTCCCCCTTTAAAAAAAAAGAACGGCCGCCATCCACCCCGCCCCGCCCCGCTCCGTGACAACGTGATATCACCCGTCGGATCCCCACACGGAATGAAGGTGGCGAGCTATTCGCTCGTCGCGAGATTTATAATGCGCGCCAATTACACGTAACACGCTTCGCTCATTCCGCGGTGTAATTCATCCCGTGTAATTACCAATGCATATTGCGGTCTCTGCGGAAGCTCGCTGCCGTGCGAACCGCGAATTTCGTGCAATCGCAACTTCGAATCCCTTCATTCCCCGCTCTCCCCTCTCCTCCCCTCCCCGCCGTATCTCCACCGCCATCGTCGTTCCGCTCGTCTCGATTTCAATTTCGCCCTGATCCCGCTGAATATATCCCTTCCACCCGCTCCCCTCCCTCCTCTCATCCTCTTCTGGCCTCTTCGCGCCTCTTCCCTCCTCCTTCCCCACTTCCGCACTTATATATCCGCGCGTGCTTTTCCCCTCTTTTTTCTTTTTTCTGTTTTTTTTTTTTCTCTCCTCTCTTTCGTCTCCACACGACCAGCCAGACGACAATTACACGACGCGACCAATTGTTCTCACGTATATCGCCATATAATAATTATAAGACGGGAAAGCTTCCACGATTCCATTATCGTGCGGGATTTAATTTGATCCGCGTTTTTAAATGTACCGACGTTTCGATCGAAACGAGTCTTGTTCTTTCTTTCTTTTCTTTTTTTTTTTTTTTTTTTTTTTTTTTAATCGGTTGATAAGGCGATAGGTTTTTCACGGGGCGGAGATCGATGGACGGGGCAATTTCGAGCTTTGCTGGATTCATCGATGTGAGATTACGAAGTAATTTGAGTGGACGTGTTCCAGGAAGAATAAAAAATATGGAATATGGATCTTCATTTTGTTAAGATAAGCGTAGAATGAAATCCGAATAATTGGATAATGGTGTATAATATAGTTTAGAATTTGAATAAATTTTGATGGATCGAAAAAATCATTATTGACATAAAGTTCAATTTCAACTTAATATCCTATTACAGAGATATTAAAAAATGTATAGGTAAATAAATGTATAGGGATTATATTACTTCTGAATTAACCATTAAAAATTCAGCTTATTTAAATATTTATCTAAATTCTAGAAGAATTGTAAATAACAAAATTGATTATCTTCGTCATTCGAATAGGCAAACGTTGCAACCAAACTTTACGTTTCAAACCAATTATCTTCGATTCAAATTTCTTCTTTTTAAAAGAAGAATGAATTTTGCGAAACACCGAAACGAATCACATTTACCGAAAAAAAAAAAAAATATTTTTCGAAACTGTGAACGATCGATAAAAGTAGAAGGAACTCCAATAACGAGTCAGTCAAACAATCGAAGCCGACAATGGTAGGCAAACATGCCCGTGTCGATGCCGATCGCGACTCAGGTAACCATTTTTTTTTTCTCTCTTCCCCTCCTCCCTCTTCTTCTCTTTCAAGATCTGCACCTGTGTTTACATTGCAGGCACTTGTCAACAATCAACTCGTCCTCTTTGTAAATTATAACCTCGCCGTGTACACAGGAACGGAGCTAAAATTTTACGATCCTACGATGTTAATAGGATTACCGGATTAAAATGTGAAATGCTACGACACGGTCGATTGAGGTGAAACGGACAATGCAACGTCTTCGAGATACGCAATGACCGCGCGTCCTCGAGGCAGATTCTTTGTAAAAAGGGACTCGTATCGATTACAGAAACCTGTAAACGGCGATAAAACGGGAATAACCGATTTCCATCGACTTACCGATGGTACGTACGGTTAAACGCAGAATCGTTTATGATCGGATAATAGAGAACAGGTTTTACGCTGTACAGATTGATACACAAATTATTTGGCATTCGTGGCAACGTTATTTGTGATACGTATATTTATATATGTTATATAAATTTTAATTGTAAGAATTTTAATTTGAGAATTGAGAAAAATGTGTCGAATATTTCAAATTTTTATCTTTTTAAATTTAAAAATGATTATGTATAAATATATTTTTTTTTTTTACAGCTATTAGATTCTTGTGACGTTCGTTCAATACTCAAAACTCTAGAATTCTACGATTCTAATCTGATTGATGATTCTTTCTCTCTCTCTCTTTCTTTAATCATATCGCTTTCTTAAAGATTTCACATGCACAACACACAACATCACGATTCATCGTGCATTCAATCTTCACATGGCATCATGCATTCCAATTTCCACATTGAATTCTTAGAATCGTTTCTCAATCGCAACCGATACCCTAACAGAAACATCCGATGCTTTCGCCCTCAAATACTAGTCATCAACACCACATCCGCAGATCATTCGCACCGCCGTACAATTTGATATAATCCGATCCATATTTATCATATACCATTTCACGTATAATATTTATATATTGTTTGTCGTGAATTTCATACAGGAATTATGATTTTTAAAAACGATATGCTACATAACGAAATATACAAAAGAATTTCTTATCTGTTTGTAATATTACTATCATTATCAACTATATAGAATTATAGAATATAGAATTATAGTATATAAAGAATATATAGAATTCGATTATTTTTATTTAATCCAATGACTACATCGAACGTGTCATTTATCATTAATAGAAACGATGGAGGAAAACACGTTCGGAACAATAAAACATCAATTGTGCACTACAACATGGAATAAAAATGGATCGTCTAAACCAGCCTTTTAAAGCGAGCAAATCTGCTCTACTTTCGATATACCACATTGGAAATGTTCCAGCAATTTCAAATGATTCCGCGCGACAGAGGCGTCCCTTCTTATCCGGGATTTACTTCCTTCCTTTTTCTCTCTTTTTTTTCTCTTTCTTTCTCTCCCGCCGTTTACTCGGTCGGTAATTGTCGATACGTCGGTACCACGGTATAGCAAGCATAATGTAATTGCGGATATTGGCCGGCGGCGGTCACGATACACACATTTATTTTCGTCGTGTTCCCGACGAGCTTTTCCGCCTCGGCTCGCGGCCTGTTTACGGCCGAATGGAAATTTGCACGCCGGCCAAATATTATTCCGTCGGCGACCCCTCTCGTTCACGATCTCTTTTCCCCACTATTCCGCTCGTTCAGTCGTTCGTTCGTTCGTTCGTTCGTTTTTCGACCGTTTCTACGCCACTGTCCGTCTGTCCGTCTGTACACTCGCGCGTCCATGCTGCGAAACGCAAACACACAAGGCACGAAGCCTCGTGAACGAATGAACGAGCGCGCACACCCCTGCACAAATGGTAAATTCGGAGCGAGTCCGACTAAAACTCCGAAAAACTGAGCGGAGAGGGGAAGGAAAAAAAATTAGGTTCGTGTCAATTTCATCGGACACGTATTTATACACAAGAGAGCGTATAGGTATTTAGCGCACAGACGCGTGAGCAAACTCTGTCTCGCGCGCGCGTCGGAGTTTCTGCTGCGTGTGTACTTTGTAGGAAGAGAGTGATGGAGGTAGCGATGGAGGGATGGGCGAGAGTGGAGAGGGTGATGGGTGCAGAACGTGGGTAAACTATCGAGAGAAAATAAATACGGGACCGGATTCATTCGACTAACGATCCGAAAGAGTCCGTCTGGCGGAGCGGGTATTCGCGCGCGCGAGTC